ATGGATTAATACAATTCCACTTGCTGCACGTGCAGCTTCTACAATCAAAAAAATAATTATAATAATAATGATGATGATAATGACGACGACGTTGATAACGAACAACGCCAACAACAAAATAATAATAATAATAATAGTAATGACAATGACGAACACCAACTAAATAATCATAATAATGATAATAATAAAGACGAACATCAAAATAATCATTATGGCCGTTCACCTAATAATCATAATCATGATGATTATAATGATAATATTAATAATATTAATAGTAATAATAATAATAATAATAATAATAGTCATAATCATAATACGACAAAGATAGATATTGACGATTATGAATATTTTGAATATTATAATGAAGAAAAATATTCATGGTTTACTTCACCAAATTTTGAAGGAAGTTTTCCTAGTAGAATATTACCTTTCTTATATTTAGGAAATTTAAATCATGCTTGTAATGCTGGTATGTTGGAAGCTTTAGGTATCAGTCACGTGTTATCGGTGGGAGAAGAATCTAAATTAGATAGAAGTAGATTTGTAGTAAAATCCTTGGATAATTTATATGATGATGGAATTGATAGTTTATGGAATTATTTAGATTCATGCGTTAATTTTATTGGTAAGTTTTTTTTTTTTTTAATTACCATTAATATACTTATTATGATTATTATGATTATTATTATTATTATAATATTAATATTTTTTTTATTGTAGAAGCTGCACGTGCAGCAAGTGGAATTGTATTAATCCATTGTCGAGTAGGAGTTTCTCGATCTGCCACTATTACAATTGCTTATATTATGAGATATTTAGGTAGATCATTGGTATCTTCATATTTATTTGTTAGAGCTAGACGTCTTAATGTTGTTATTCAACCAAATTTAAAATTTATGTATGAATTATTACAATATGAACAAAAATTAACAGGTAGAATGGGAATTAGTTGGACTTGGTTAGCTAAAGAAATTCATAATTTAAATATGTGTTACGTTGGATCATAAAATAGACATATTTATAAATATATATATTTATCTATTATATCTATATATTTATATTAAAAATTATTCTTCTTTTTTAATGATTTTATCAAAAAAATTTTTGGGGGGGAGGGAAAAAATATTTAATTGATTGATTTAATCGATTTTAATTAATTAATTAATTACATGGGCAAACTTGATAAGTCGACCACTGGCAGCTGACCGACTTATTGAGATTAGTGTAATAATAGAATAGTTGACCAACATTAGTCGACTTATCGAGTTTCCCTTTGTAATAATTATTTGATTAAGTCAATTTTTATTTGGTTTGTACGACGATGCGTCGCAAACTCTATTATACTAATAATAATAATAATAATTATAATTAATAATAATTTTTTGTAAAGTGTAAACGGACAACATTCATTCATTCATTTCGTTTGATTGTTAGTCTGTAGATCCATCCTTTTTTTTTTTATTATTGGTTCCTTTAATAATTATTATTCTTACCTTAACGCACAAAGTTCTGTTCTTTTTTCTATGGTTCCTTTTTTTTTATAGTTCTCATTTTTAAGTGTGTAGTTTCGTTTCCTGAATTTATTTTTTTTTTCCTAGTCAAACTATTTTTTGTTACCATCTACAATTGCTGCCAAAGAAATCAATTTTTTCTTCTTTACAAGCGCAGAAAATTCAAGCAAATCAATTTGATCTCATTTTCTTTTTTCAATTATAATATTCTTTCAAATGTCCCTTTAAATTTTAAAATAAGCACAGAAAAAAAATTTAGTAGTGTTAGAAATTTTTTTAAAAATTATGAGGTTCTTCTCATAATATGAATGAATGATGCGAGAATAAAATGAAAAAAGATTATTTTTAAAGATCCTTAAACTTTTTTTTATTTTTGTTAATTTTTTTTTTTGTCTGAATAATGAATTTCTTTTTTCGGACACCTTTTCTCTTGTACGAGTGGGATTATTAAACCCAATTGTTAGTTGTCTTTATTGTTCTACTATTCTCATTCATATTCTCTCTCACCTCTCCCCCGTAAATTTCTTTTTCTTTTGTAAATATTTCAAAAGTACCTTATACAGTAATTATTTAATAATTAATTTTACTATTAATTATGTACTTAATTTTGTATTTAATATAGAGTAGAGAAAAAAAAAAGACAATTTTTAATGAAAAATTTTCACGAAAAAAGTGAATAAAATTTCCTAGGTTCTCGAAATTCTAATAATATTTATTCTTTACGTGAAAAAGTTTGAAATGTTGTACGCGCGTTTTACGTAACATTTTTTATTTCTGATTTTGTAATGTGATTGGATCGCTGATCTCTTACATGATAGATCAGATATAAAATGACCTCCTTTTTTTTCTTCATACTTTACATCATTCTTTCCCTTTTAGGAGGGAGGGAAGGAACGCTGCACACTCTCCTTTGGTCTCTCGTGCGTGCTTCTCCCTCAAATACTAATCTATCCATAGATTTTTTTTTTTTTTTTTTTAAAAAAAAAAACAACAGAGCCTCGTTCCGATACGTTGTAAAATTGTTACATGAAGAAACCTATTAAACATAGAAGAGCTTGCTAAAAACTCAGTATACTGATTAGCCAAGGATCCGTCAGATACCCACGGATACCCACAGATAGGTTAACTTTTTAATATAGTTAACCAAGGTTAGAAGGATCATCTACATAGGCCAATTTTATGACTTTGGTCAATGGTTGGCACCTGAGGTGCCTCAGTCGCGATCTGAGGTACAACAATAATATCTTTTCATATGAACAATGAGAACTTACTCTTGTACAATTTTTTTTTTAAAAAAAAACGATAATAACGTAATAAATAAAGAAGAAATTTATTTTTTCTTTCTATATAATTTATTATTGTCATTATAATTATTAAGTTAT